CGGATGTACAGACCAAGAGCCCTGACGGAGAACATGCAAGGACAGAGCGAGAGATTAAAGGACGTTTTCCATGCACAGGTTCACAAACGCACAGAACTTCTTGCATGCAGACAGACGAGTCTCCATATGGTTTACTTTACCACAGTTATGGTCATTTTATCCACTGTGGGTTTCTACTATAACTTACTGTGAAAAAGAAAGTTTTCACAGGACTCCCTGTGGTCCTGTGAAAACACACTGACTACTTCCAAAGGAATGAAGAGGGTAACTGATCATCAGCAAGTGTGAGCACCTCTATAAAAACAGAAGTTTGCTGGTCTGGAGCTTTTAAGCACGTGCCAACACGATGCCAGGGAGGAAAGATGTAAGCAATGAGCTTATAGATGCAACTGCTGCTGCCCACGAGTCTGACAAGGGTTAGAATGTCATTTCCAAATAATTTGATTATTCATCATTCTGCAGTGAGAAGTGGTAGATATTCAAGACACATGCTAACGTTCAGAGGGCTGAGCATCCCTGAAAATCCACCCCAAGGTCAGACTGTGCTGTTCTCAGAGACATCACAAAAAACCCAACAGCTCCATCTCAGACTCGACAGGCCTCAGTTAGCATGTTAAACATGAAAGTTCATGACAGCATAATTAGGAAAAGACAAGTGTGGCGTTTAGAAGGGTCGCCAGGAGAAAGCACGCAACACGCCAGCACGGTTTGGTTTGCAAAGTTGCAAAGACTCGAGATCAGGCCGAAGAGGAGATGTTTGGCTATAACACAGCACATCAGTGAAGCACAGCAACGATAACAACTGGAGTTTTATACAGAAACAAATCCTGTTTCTCACAAACAAGTCATAAGATCTGCGTACAATCATGATTTAGTCTGCGCTTGACTGTGATGATGTAGTTTAAATGCATGCTTCTATATCCGCCTGATTCTGTGCATCGCGCTGCATTACGACTCATCACAGGTGATTCTTCTCTCACTCAGCATTGTGTCTTCTATGAAAATGTGGGAGCAGCGTTGCATGTTGTTTATTTAATCGCTGCTGCAAAGACTGCCTGCTTACCTCGGCTCCTTGAATGACTTTAAACACAGTAGTAACAATGTCAGGACATCTTAACGTTATTTGTATTAGACGATATACACACCTTCAAACTTACAAACTGAGAGTGAAATGGTAATATGTAAGAAAATGGCAACAGTTCAGTACTCCGGGTCCTTAACTTGAACAAAATACAGCGTTTGATGGTGATACCGATGCGCAAAAAAGACTGCTGCTTCAAAATGCTGAAACTAGGTTAAAAGGTAACAAAGAGATGAGTGTGTGAAAAAGGAAAAAACAGAGAACGAGGAACTCGAGCAGGAGACTGGTGAGGTCAGGTGAGTCATGAGAACAGTCATAAAAAGTTATCCTGCTTTCCGTGAGGAAATCCCATCCACTGCCCGACTGTCACACACCCAAAGTAGAGCCCTGCATAGCTGTGCACTTATGTCTTGCCATGCCTTTTCTTCTTTTTCCCCACTGTGGGAGCATCTCTGGGTGTTTATGTAGTGCAGCGCAGCAAATAACAGGATTATGGCGGGATGACTTTAGTATATGCTTTCTATGGTAATCTGACAGTGTCTTTGGGGGTTAAAGTAGAGAATTAGGGTTTAAGTAGAAGGATGTGTGTTGTCTATGCCAAGTGAGTTTGTGAGCACAACTCACCGTCCGCTGAGCGACGAGCAGTAGGGAACCACGTGGATTCCCAGAGGGCTGTCCTCTCCTAGGATCTCCACCATTCTGGTCAGGCTGCGCACACACAGTGAACACACACATACAGAGAGGAAGAAAACAAAATAATACAAGTTCAGTTATTCTGAAAGGAAGGGTAGCTTTGACGTAGCACAGCGACAAGAAAAACTGAACTACTTCAGTTTTTGCACGAGACGAGAGAATTAGGAAAGTCCTGAGAGAACAGAAATCAAGATAAAAAGCTTAGATGTGCCTTAAAAAGTATCCAAATACAGACAGGTTAATCATCAGGCATGACACAAAATAAAAGACAGAGAGAAAACAGCAAGGCAGCCCTCACATGCATGTGGTACCACCAGAACAAAAACCTGTGCCGGTCTGGGGAGGAAAAGTTTGGAGAAGCGCTATCCAAGATTGAAACGTCATTTTCCACGGATCCGTTCACTGAGCTAAAAATACTTTTTGTTGAGGACTTAATCCATGTCTGCAAACCCAGGCCGCAGAGGAGGCGATGCCAACACTCTAATCAAAGTCAATAAAAGTGCAGATTGCTGCTGTGTGCGCACGCCTGTCACAACTTTTATGTGGCATCCTTCTCGGAGGATTTCTGACTTGCTTTCAGTCTCTCAGTGTCTCTGTCTAGCTTCGATTATTCAAGTATGTATCTGCTTTACATTCTGCCTGTGTTTTAATGCATGTGTGTGCTGAAGTCTTTGTTTGTTTGATTAGTTTATCTATCAGCGCACAGCCATTAATCCTCTCCTGACCTTCTCTCTGCTCCCTGCGTGCATGTGTGCGTGTTTTTAGAAGCCAGTTTGTCTGAACTTGGTTTTGTGCTTTTGTTCTGCCCTCCCCTCTCCGTCTCTGACTATCTGTTCGTTTTGTCTCCCGCTCTCTCTAGACCATCCATCCATTCGTAAACCCCCCACCCCCCCATCAACTGATAGCAGCACAGATGCTGATAAACTCCAGAGAGGGTTACTGATGATGCTGGGTGGCAACAGGGAAAGATGCAAAGTGTAGAAACAAGTTCTCCCTCTCTCCTTGTCTCAGACACAGACACTCACACAGAAAGCTAATGCTGCCTCATCGCTACTCAGCAGATTTGAGTTTAATCCAGACAACAGGAAGTGAGGGGAAGAAAGACAGAGGCAAGGACACAGAGTGGTGTTTAAAAATTTAGAGCATGCTCCCAGTGTGTAACCAGAAAACTGACTGGATCACACTGGAAACTGTCATTACACACATACGATTTCTCCGTGTGTTGGTGAAGCACACCATTGTGTTGTATGCTAATAAGGAAATGTAAAGTGATGGGGTTGGTGCTACCACAGGTGCTGTGTCAGACCACGACCGGTCATAGCCAGAGGTCATGACATGGTCATAAGCTCTGGCTATGACCGGTCGTATGACCGTATAATGGGTATGACATGTGATTACATGTGATTAAGGTGACTCCTGGACTTTTTTTTGGCTGATCCAAATGAGACAGGCCCATGGAATAAATTGGAAGGATAACATATCCCATCTAAACCAGTCACATCTCTGGATCCTGAAATAAATGCAGACAGCATTAATGGAGCGTGCCTTTTCAAGCTTACAGTAAAGATTACTTCGCGAGCATGTACAGTTGTACATGTACAAAAAACAGATCCTGTCTTGACCCAACTGCCACCCTACGCATCATCCTTGAACAGTCAACTGAGCTGAACTCGAGAGCGTAAGTCAACTTTGTGGATTATGAAAAGGCTTTGGATGGTGTGCGCAGAGAACCTCGTAGTACCAATGAAGTTGGTTAACTTCCTAAGGAGTTTAAGATCCAGACTGGGGTGAGACAAGCATGCCTGCTATCACCATTCCCAATCCTGTGAGTGATTGACGGGTTAAAGCAGCGGTCCCCAACCCCCGGGCCACAGACCAGTCCGTGAGTCATTTGGTACCGGGCCGCGAGAGTGAGACTCGGGTGTGAAATGCTTGGTTTTCAGGGTTTTTAGCGTTATTTTGTTTTTTTTTTGTTTTTGTTTTTTTTTCCCCGTTAATTCGGTTTTCCTTGGTCTTTTCACGTGTGTTATGAATAAATCTTCTTTTTTTCGGTACTAGTTTTATTTTGTTGTATTTATCCGCGACACCTTAAAGGCCGGTCCGTGAAAATATTGTCGGGCATAAAACGGTCCGTGGTGCAAAAAAGGTTGGAGACCGCTGGGTTAAAGAAGAAAATCACAGAAGGAAGAAGAAAGGAAATCCAGTGGACACAGCTGGAAGACCTGGATTTTGCATTTTTTTTACAATTATTTTTGAAGATTTGTTGTTACTATCTTGCAGCCACCAGCAAACGCAAGAGAAGACAAGCGCACAAGCAGCTGTAGGACTGAACATCCACAAAGATAAAACTGAGATCATGAGAGTAAACGCAGCCAGGACCAAGGACTTTGGAGGACTCCACTGACGGCCTTCACCCAGGAGTGTGTTAGACTTAAGTAGGTATGTATATAAAGTTAGTACGGGGAACGGAGCAGGAGTCATTATGATGACTGAAATTTTGAGCATTAGAGGACAGTTCATCAGCATACGTGCCCCTGCCACTTCATTAGGTACACCATGAACTGCGTTACACCCGTCAGCCGGTTTGATTCATCGTGGCACAGATTTAACGAGGTGCTGGAAACACTGCTCTGAGATTTTGTGTGCTCAGAGAGGCTCAGAGTAGTTTTTTGATTTAACCATGTCTGCATGCCTGAATGCACTGAGTTGCTGTCATGTGATTGGCTAAGTAGATTTGCGTTGGTGTTATGAATGACAATGTAAAGTTGAGATGTTTTCCTGCATTAGTGATCACAATAATAAACTTAACTTTATTTAAAACAAACACTTACTGAGATTTTTCAGCCTTGGTCATAGAAAGCGACCAATACCGCCCTGCTCACATCACAGAATCAGTCTGAACACGGCATGAAAGGAGAAAGAAAGAGGAAGCGGAAAGAAAAGTAACACTGATGTATAACAGGAGAAAAACAGGGACAAAGGAGAAAAGAAAGTAGTGAGCAACCAAGGTCTAGAAGTAAAATACAGTGAGATGAAGGCGGGAGGAGGCACTGAATTAATCAGACAGGGCTAATGAAAAGAATTAATACAAGAGGGAAAATAACATCCACCCCTCCCTCCATCCTTCCTGCTGCTGCGCTTCTGATCTCTAACACTAACTACAACACAGGCACGCACACACAGGCACGCACACACAAACACACCGACGCACACAAACACTTCAGATCCATTTGCATTTCCTTTCTCATTTTTTCTTCTGTGAGATGTTTGACAGGCTGCATCAATGCAAAAAATGAAGTCGGGGTGAAAGGGAGAGACAAAATGGGTGAGACTCGAGGAAGGAGAGAGGGAGCGCAACGAGAGAACAAGAGACGGAAAAAAAGAGGCAAAAAGCAAAGAGAGGGGAGCGAAAGAGAGATGAAGAGAGCAGGTGTTCCCTTTATCCACCTGCCACTTCACTGATCCTCGCTATGAGAGACAGACAGAGGAGAAATAACAAAAACAGAGGATGTGCATTACCAAAGCGCTCTCTTCCTCCCTCTCGTCTCATCCCTCTTATTTATCCTGCTCTCTCTCGCCCTCCTTTTCCCCCTCGAAGCCAGTCTTTCAAGCGCAGAGCGCCAGAGTAAATGCAAAGCAGTAAAAATACACAAAATACTACAGATAAGTGTGAGAAAATACACAAGAACTCAAAGTATAAAATAAATGAGAGCCTTCACAAACAAAAGTACCAGTGATAGTATTTAATCCATAAGAGCAAAGTGCAATAAACGTGATTTTGTCACAGTTAAGAGGCGGTAAAAGTTAACAGTAACAACCTCGATCAGATCGAAGGTGCTTGGAAAGCAAAGCGACGGCACAAGTTTGGAGTAGTTACCTACACAGACACGTTACCTTTGGGAGGAAAACCCTACAACTGGTGCAGGAGTATGAAGGGAATCAACCTTTATCAGACTTTTTCTGGGGCTATCGATGAGGAGGAATATCAGACGTCTTAAAAACTTTTTCACTTCATCGTTATTCCTGGTTTGTTTTAAAAGGTCACGCTGAAGGATCTCATCTACAACACGGATGTCTAAGCTTCAGGTCATGAACCGCTGCCCTGGCGTTTTCTCGCAAAAACAGAAAGATACAATTTTGAACTCATTTCATAAACACGAGTCCAGGCTCAGAGGCCCCAAGTCCTGGTTATGTCAGCCGCTCACAGAGCAGTGTGGTGTTGTGGAATAAATACTGATCATTTTTACACAAAACTTCACAAATGTAATCATTTCATTTTCAAAAAGCTTCCTGTGCACACACATGTAAAATGCCTATGAAAGTTTAAATAAGCTGCTGCTACATGCTGGATGCTCCTCTGCTGGGAAAACAGCAGACAGACGAGCATAATATTATGCTAATTAATCTCTGAATCTAGATATATTGTACGTGACGTGGGACAACTAGATCCAGGCATCTGTAACTGGTAAGCGTGAGTCTTCTAGTCGAGGCGTGATGAGCTTTTCTGTTTATCTAGAAAAAAAACCCGTCTGTGTCTTTGAGGAAAGGGGACTCCACAGGAAGCTGAGATGTCCCAGTTTTCCTCTAGCAGTTGAATCCAGCCTACAGTTGTGTATCTGCACGAGCACGGATTCAGGAAGACTCTCAAAACGTCACATGCACACACGATGCGATCTGTGCATGTCGAGGAAACTTTGTGCACGTGTATTTAACAAACTGTAAGTGAGCCGAACGAACGTCTCAAATATTTTCAGACACGTGCACAGGAAGCTTTTCAAAAGTGAACAAGTCTGTGAAGCGGAAATTCAGAATATTGTCTGTAGATTATAAATTTTAACTTTAACTATTATAGTTTTACATGTTTCTCTGTATTTGTGGGTGGGCTGAAAAACAGAGAATATACACACATTTACATTATTTATAAATCTGGGTTTATGCTTGTAAATCATATTAAACGCATTTATAAACCTATGGAGACAAATTTACTCTTTCCTGGCATCGTTACATCAAAACCA